ACGTGCGTCATTAATTTCATAATGAGTTGTCCAGACTCCAGATAAACTTGCAGAAATGGAAACTTGTGGAAGTATTGTTCTTTTATCGCTTTCTGTATAATTTGTTCACAATTTAAATAAGATTATTTTCATCCTACTAAACGAAACAATGTGAAGTTGATATTTTAGTCACTGGCTTGACTTATGCATAAACAGTATTGAACGATTTTGAGAGAAAGATTACCTGTCTGAACTTGAACTCTAAACAATTAGGCTACACATCGATTTATTTTCAGACGTTCATCGAGGCCAGCTCTGTATTGGCCCAAGTTGAGGAAACAGTCGTCGTGAAATGTTTGGACCATACAAAACTTTGAGAAGTTGTCGTCGCATTTCCAGAGAAAATAAAAGTAACCCATTGTTTCTTCAGAGGCTCGGATGAAGGAACTAAAAAATTATTTGGTGTTCGTTTGTACATCCGAACACCGATCAACTGCCATGCTTCACTCCTTTGCAAGCCATGATATCTCTCGAGGAAAAACTCAAATCGCGCTCGTACTTCCTAGCTCATTTTCTCATGGGCGAGCGGAGCCAAATTCTCTGGGCGGGCAAAGCAGAGAAAAGGGAGGTTACCTTTCCACTGTATGACGTCATACTGGGGAGATTCAAGATCAGCCCGTCTGAGCTTTCATTTTCTCAAAGGCAGAGAAAGACAGCCAAAGCTCGGTTTACCCTGATTGAAATTTATAGCCACTGGGGGACCATATACAGGCTAGCTAGGGGAACTCATATTAACGTTAAAAAAAACCCAGAAAGGGAAAATTTCATGTCATGGGACCTTTAACCACAGATGATTAAATACATTCTAGTAAAATGTCATGCATTTTGCATTTCCATTTGTTTCTTTTTCTCCTATATGCGCAGGGTTTAATGGTAATATTCATGAGCCTAACTTTGAAGATTTTGACCTTTTATTGTGCTGCTGTTGCTTTTTTCCACACTTTTAGTCTTATAGATGCCACCCATAAAGATGTTGACGTTCTTCTGCTGCTGTCCAACTGTGCATATTATGTAGCCTAGTAAGTGCATTTTCTCTCAAAATTTGTGTTTTTTCAAATAAGAAATCCTTTTTTCTTGGCATTGATTTAGTAATGCCGCTTCACTTTGTTGTTTCTATTTAGTTATGATGAGGAGGCAGACAAAGTCAACCAGTACCAGAGACTCAGTTTAGAGGGTCTTGAAAAGATCGAAATTGGTAATAGCTTGTAGATAAACTTGTGAGTGTAATTTTTGTCAATATAATGTTCTGTGATATGACAGTTAGCCAATGTTGGTTTTTGTAGGGCCAGAACCAACTCTTTTCGGAAAGCCTAAGTACTGCTGCATGCGGCTGCACTATAAGAATGGGGAGATAAGCGGTTACTTCCATACGCTGAGGGCTGTCGCACGGAATCCAGAGGATGATGGGAAAGGTTTGTGCTGGGATACCATGATTTGTTGTGGCACTAGTTCAGCTTCTGTATTGCGTAATTCTGTGAATGACATTGTGGGTTAAGTTGGTAAAATATATAACTTGGCCTTGTGTATACTGGTGTAGCTTGAACAGTTTTGTGTTTGTTAAATAATTGATCCTTTCCTCTGCACTTGTTGGGTTGTTTGCATTTCAGACACACTCCAGTGCATTGCTGAAATGCTTCGTATTACAAAGCAAGCTATGGGGCTTGACGTTCTAGTCGTTGAGAAGAAACTAGAGAGGTAAAATAACTTTTGTATTTAACATTTTTAAGGTTTTTACCTTATTTACAAAAGACACAAAGGCTCTGTTCACACATTTTGTTCAAATATCTGATTTCAAAATAAGTTATGTGTCTGCACATGCAACAAATGACAAACAAATGACAAAAAGATCAAAGAAAAAAAGAAGACTGAGACACGTTAACAAAAATCGGGTATAAAAATAGATTTAATTTGTTCTTTTTTCACATTAAGACTACAAAAACCTAAAGAGATTTTTTTTTTTCTGGCTCTTTTGAACATTCAAATTGTTGATGAATCTTGCTTTTAATTACATTGTTTCAGGAGACACAGCAAACCACATGAGGATATAATGGGAATACAAGGAAAAGCCGTGGACCAAGTCCTTGGGTCAGGTTTGGCCCAAGGCAAAAGTTTCCTTTTGAACAAGTTCTCATCGCTCAACCAGAAAGTGAAGCAGACAAAGACTAACGTCAACATTGGAAACTTCAAGCCCCTGGGGAAACTGGGGACCTTCTCTAAGCCTGAGGTGAAAGTGGACTTCCTCAAGCCCAATTTACATATGAACCTCTGGAAGTCAGACAGCAGTTTAGAGACCCATGATGGGAATAGTGGTTCGGCAGCCCTGAAAGACCTTAAAGACAAACATTCGGATGAGATTTCCTCTGATTCCGATTCCTACAACTCGGATGAGCTGCCATGCTCGGGCTCTCGGGAAAACGTAGACTATGTACTTCCTAGCTGTGGAATTGTAGCATCTGCACCACGACTTGGCAGTCGCTCGCAGTCAATTGGCAGCGTCGAGCTTGCTGTGCCCTCTGTCATTCGAGTCACTGGCTGTGATAATAAGACTGCGGATAGCTTGTCAGTTGGCCCAGATGGCCAGTCTCCTGGGACAGCCTCGGAGGCAGAGGAAGCCATTCTGATTGACTTCGGGACACCTATTGATGCTTACTGCCAGCAGTTTGTCCAGGATGCTAAGATCAAACCAATAGAGGTGTTCGAGGAAGTGGCTCCAGCACCCAAACCGCAAGCACCTCAAGCCCCTTCAGCTCCTGACACAAGACTGGGGACTTCAAATTACCAACAGCAACTCCCTCGCCCATCTCAACTTGAGGTGGAGACCTCCGTCCAAGGGGCAAATCTACTGACTGTCCAGCCTGCAGGCTCAGCCACATCATGCGGGTCACAAAAGAGTTTGGAAGGCATCACAGGACCCTCGCCGGCAGACAGCAACGGAAGCCGCGTGGTGTCGCCCTTTGCGAAGATCAGAAGCTCCATGGTGCAGGTGGCTAGTTTTACCCAGGCCGGACTTACCCAAGGCATCAACTTTGCTGTAGCTAAGGTGCAGAAAAGCCCAGAGACAGACGCTGTCAACGAAACCCAAGAGAACGAATTGCGAGCGATGTTTACACAGTGCCAGACCAGGATCATTCAGATATAGTGTGCTTAGCAGATGCATTTTTAGTGTTAGACTTCCTGAAAAGTAATGTAGCATAAGCTCAGTAATGGTAGCATAAGCTCACAGAAGTCAAGCCACACCACTAGTTTCCCCTTCAGTTAACCAAACCAAAGTTTACAGCCAGTGTTTAGTAGTAAGTAGTACGTCTAAGATTAACCCGACTGTGCCCCTGAGTCCAAATCGAATCCTAAACATTTATATGTTGCTGGTTTGCATGTTAAAAAAAGCAGGTAACTCTGAGGTATATTAGGACAGGCAAGTTGTATTGCATGTCATGAAGACCTAATACCTAGATACGTCATGTCATGTGACCCCATTTGTGCAGTACAATTCACTGGCTGTTATAGCTGTAACTAAAACCTTTTTCGATTGGAATATCTATCAGTGGGCAGCTTAGACAACCAGACAATACAGTTATATGGATATCTTTGATGTGGTGTTTGTCATAAAAATATACCAAAATAGGACCACAATAGTTGTGTAGGATCTATGGTCAAATTATAGTATTCAACTAAGTATTATATGTAAGTACTGTAGCAGTTTCCTTTAGTACTCAACAATTAAGATGTTTATAGAGAGATAATTATATTTACATGCTCTTAAGTTTATAATCATAGCTGATGGAAACAATCCCTCTCCAGTTCTTTTGGGCTCCGTAGATGTATTCACGCAGCGAAATAGTTTGACTAAATCATGACTTAAACTGATATTTATTGTCACACGTTGGTTTTGAGAAAAGTTTGTCTTAAAATTCTTTTTATTTCATGTTTTTCAGTTGTATGATGTGACAGTGGTCTGCCGATATCTTAAAAGGCTTAAAACGTACGTTGGGGAACGACCTGTTTTAAGTACCTGTAAAAACATCGTAAGGCATTGGACTCACGTATGCATAAATTACTTTTGACTAGTATTTGACACAGGTCTGATGCAGGGTACCCATGACACAACTTTTTGTACTCTTAAATGGCAAAAGCAAGACTTATCAGATTGCTAAATGCCAAGTCTACCTTTAAAAGTAATTTAGGTTACATTTATGTTCTATCTTTAGTATCCATGTGATGTCTTTAGATTTGCTCTAGCCATTTGGTTCAAGATCAAGAAGTGATACAGATTTGGTTCTTTTGGTTTCAAATATATTCGAAATGCAGAAAGAACATAAAGCCTTACTGGGTGATATCCAGTAGAACCTAGGTTTATTTAATGCATTATTTAATGATGTTTAAGTGTAGATCTTGTGGGACTGATCTTTCTGAATTAAGCAACTTTGAAATAGTTCAAAATCTTATGGGCTACATATCTAAATAAGACAATGTGGTTTCAAGTGAACATCAGTGAGAAAATTGTATTGGCTTTGAGGGCTGGTTTACAAGGTCTTTGGGCTGCAGTTTGTTTTTCAAACACGCCACAAGCTTTGTTTCTTACACACGTCATTTCTTGTCTTTCTCTCACATGTACTGTAGCATAGATAGAGTGCTGTGCAAGACACTGGTTTACACAATGCTGTTGCAATAGTACATTCAGACTTTCCTGTAGCTGGTACGTGGTTCTGAGATTGGAACTGTCTGAGCTTTAATATATGGTGGCTGTTATGCAATAGTGATAAATACATGCGCAATAGGTTTGGTGGTAACTGGACTTTTTTTGTTACTTTTTTTTTTTTTTACTATTTAAGACAGCATGCACTGGACTGCATCTACCCTGTTCTGTTTTGAACTTGAAATGCTCTTATTTGGTGGAGGATCTTGATAAACATTCCTCTTGGTTTGGTAGTGGGGATAGATTTTGTATGTATGATTTTTTTTAATTTTCTATGCATAAAGACTTGCACTGTCTCTGTGGTTGTTCCCCAACATCTTATAATGTTGCAAAATGTCACAAAGTGCTTTTGAATACACTTTTTATTTTCAATGTATGTAACTGAACTGAACTGACATGCATCGTATTATATTTTGTCCAACAGTCTTTTGTTTCAAAAGCACATCATTTCCAGCTTCTTCCCATTGAAGAGAACATCCTCCATATTTTTTGGTGAATTGTTTTAATCTATTGTACCCCGTTTTTTTTTTTTCCAGAGTATTTATTCCAAATTCATGTTCTCAAGTTTATTCCCTAGTATTTTCCTATGTTAATCATAATTTTGTTAACTGCTGTATTTTAAAATGTTATGGGCTGTACCTGGGAGGCATTTTAAGTAAATAATTAAGAAAGATTGTCATTTTGATTCATTTACAACTTTGATGACAGATTAACTAGAACACAAGCTTTCACTAGTTCGAAGTCATTCATCTCCAAATACTGCAGATTTCACTTGTGAAATGTTTCTTCCTAACACACTGCTCTCACAGTAAACTCTCCTTACAGTGTCGGTATGTGGTTCCTTCTAGTGAAGTCCTTCTGGTTGCCCAGAGCTACACTGCAAAGCTACATTCTTTGCATTCAGATGTAGCATGAGAGGTTTGTGACTCCTTCACTCAGGTTATAACAGAGAGGAATAGGCTGGTGTTGCCTTGCCCGAGACATTTAACATTAACGTGTAAGCACTGGCACTTTCAGGCTTTTGCTATTTTTAAATCTAAACATGCTGATGAACCTAAGGCTTTTCAATTGCATGATTAATATTGATGGCAATACAGCAAAACAACTGTTAGTTTGTTGCCATTCCTATATTTGGTAATGCTAAACAGATACAACTTATTAGTAATGTAAATTAGTAAATGTTGAAATTAACATTTAAGATTAAAGATTTTTTCATTGTTGGTCAGTTTAACTAATGGAGGTTAACATATGGAACCTTACTGTAAATCATCATCCCATTTTCTAAGTAAGACTATATATATGCAGAGTATTCAAAACTTTATTTTTCCTAATACCCCTGTGCCACAAGTGTACATATTTGCTGTAAGGCAGTTCATCTTTGTCACGTCTGCTTTTGCATATATATGTTAATATACAATGCAAGTACCAAAATCAAAATTTAACAACGCATTAAAATGCATCAAAAATGTACTTCACCAGTGTCTGTAGTTGCACACAGGTTTAAAAATGAAGTAAAAAAAAAAAAAACTGTACAAGTCATATGCTATATGAAAACTACATTTGAATCCAAAATATTGACAAGTATGGTTCCTGTTGGCGTATTTGTAAATAGCAATATATTTTAAGGCTCGTTTCCGTTCACACATTTCTGCTGCTGTGTTCGACTTATTCTCAAGACCTCAAGCTGCTTGGCTTTCATCCAGCCATCTCTAGAGAGTGTGTTCTGCCCATGACTTAAAGACAGCAACCTGAAACAGAATACAACTGGCATTTAATATGCTAATGGTTAACAGAACTAGATTAGCAGTGAAAGAGCAATTCAAACTTTACCTCGCAACAACCAGCAATCTATGGAGGTCTTCCGCAGACATATTCTGAGGGTCATCTTTTCGCATTTCAACAAAATCCTCTTCGACTGCCTACAGATTTAAACCACCAACCATGAGACAAGTGCTGAATTAGCAACATCATATTACTCTTACCATATCTTTTTTTTATGGTAGAAATTGCAAGAGAAGTATGCGCTTCTGAATTCAGCCAATAAATGAAATCACCATAAACATTTGGACAATCATATCAGACAAAAATTCTGACCTTTGTGATCTCATCAGAAATGGTGTAGTTCAGGGCACGTGCCATGCTCAGATAGATGCGATACTTGTTGATCTGAGATGGAACCTGTGCCACTTGCACAGCGCTCAGGTACTCCTCCAGGTTAGGTGGATTAAGGGTGGGCCGTAGGTGAATCCGACAGTCAGACTGAGAAAGCCAAGAAGAAAATCTCTTTAAATGTTGCTTTTTCTACTCTGCCACGTGTTTTCGAAACGATTGAGCTCTTGATATTTTAAATTCTCATTTGTAGAAATGTCAGAAGCCATTAAAGAATCATGAAACTACCCCTAATAAACCTTTAGTGCATTTTTAAACTTTGTAATATACTGTGTACTGAGTTTTGTGCCATTAAATAAGTGGCTTGTCCTGCCCTCTCCCTCGAATGTCCCTGTGATAGAGTTGCCACCATGGCAACTAGAGAGCTGACGTACAGGAATAGCACAGCACATTCCACAGGCTGTTAGCATCACAGCAAAGCCACGATAAGAGCACAGCTAGGGAGCTGATGGCAACCCTGTGGACTGTAATGGAAATATTAGGCTGTCTTTACAACTGTCTGATGGAAACAACTCCCATGGGAGTGGCATTCACCCCCCAAGTCATTTTCACCTGCTGGAAATTATGATGCCGGGCCGGTCTCTCTAATTCGCCCCCAAATACACATGGGTAATATTTTAATAATAAAACGCTCAAAGAGACTCGGTAAGAGCCTGATGTTCTTACCGGGAGGAGCGATCGGCCCTCGGATGCGATAAGCACGTTAATATTGCAGGGGAATTCCATCTGGTGGTAGTTGAAGTCGTAATCAACCTTCTGCCAGGAGATCAGGTTCCCCAGTGCAGTGATATTCTGGACACCTACACCCAGAACAGACATTATACAAAGACTTGTCCATGTACGATAAATACATTGATTGAACAACAAAGCAGTCTAAAAGGAAATGGCTTCAGAAAAGGATGTTTACAATTCCTTCACGCATGCAACCGTCTCTGACAGAGGTTGGATGAGTGTACTGATATTAACGTAGAATGTCAAGGATATTGATGGAGTTGGAAGCAATCCAAGATAAAGGAGAACTCTGGCACAAAATTAACCTTTGGTCTAACAACACATTGGTACCTAGTCGACCGTTCTCTGAGATTTGTTTTCATGATAATCGAATGTAAGGAGTTTTTTTCAGAGGCTGAAAGTTGTTTTTGAAAGTTCTAATAGTTAATCTAATATTAACTTCGCAATTTAATTGATATATTCATGTAACTGTGCTTCACATGTGTTCCAAACAAAATTTCAACATATTTGCATTTTCCAGTCATCGCATTCAGAAATGGCAAAAGCCACGGCGAGAATTTTGCGTCATACCCAAAACATCGAACAAAAAAGCTTTTATTTAATAAATATGTAGCAAATATTCTGTGTCCTTTACATAATGAAAAGTATGTATGTTTGTAAGATGCATATTGACACATTACAGCACTGTGCATGTGTGCAATATATTTTGTAATCTAAATGTATCCGAAAGTACTCAGATTCAAAGGTTTAAATTGCTAAAAATGTCCATGTCAAACATTAAGATCTATTCCACCCCTTTCAATAAAATTTCAATTGATGCGTTTACATTTATAAGATATATAAGCAATAAATAAGATTATAGGTTGCATGTAAACATAGACTTTTGGACTCCTACTGTACGTCTAGTCGGCACACTACTTTTGCCAGCTATAATCAGTGCTCTCACCTGTGGTATCCAGTTGGCCCTGCCCCAGCTGCGTCTCATCCAGAAACAGTGACGTGTTATTGGCCAGCTGAAGAATCCCACTCATCAGGCGGTTAGCTGTGTAGTCTTTCCGTGGCACCATGCGTTGGTTGTTCATATTTTGCAGGCTCATGCATAGTCTGAATGACTACCAAGAAAAGGGAATCAAGTTGAATAGTAGTAGCAATGGCAGCTTCAATTATTTCTATAAGAGATGTGATATAATTCAAAGATCCACCTAGACGACTTACAGATGGCACAAGCTGTTGGATGACATTGTAGAGATGCTCAGTGTATGGAGAGGTGAGAGGACAGCCACTGATATTCAATGTGAATTTGCCCAAAGGTAGAACATCCCGTCTGCTGTATCTAAAATAAAGAAACAATGCAAACTTCGTGATGTGTAGTCTGAAGGACAGTGGGTAACTTGCTTTGTGTAAGAAACATATCACTCTCTTAAAAAAATATCTTGATATATCTTGCAAATAGGTGGAATAGGACTTTGCAAAGTATAGGGCAATAAATTAAACAGGAACTGCATGCTACAGAAAGTCAAACTTCAGACATGCAACACTTGAAATGAGAAACGTACACATTGGAGATGAGATGGAGAATGAGGTACTCAGCAGCGAGTGAATCCCCCATCAGGACATGTGTGAGGAAGGTGAGCAGCTCTGCTCTGACTGAAGCCAGTTCTCCAAGAACACTGCTTAAATCTGAAGACAGCATACAGACATCCGAAGTCAACAATCACTGGGCTGTACGAAACAAAATGTAGCCACTCTAGCCACCAATTTTGATACCACAAAAAATACTGAATTATTTCTTAATAAAAGTAATAGTACTTGTTTAGTAAATACCGTAGTCAGAAATTAAGAACAATGATTTTCATCACGTCAATATCTTTTAATATTGACAAGATATTAATCATATACATAAATAAATAGACAGCTGTTTGCAGCTCTGTTCCACTGTTCTTATTGTTTACTAAAACTATTAAAAATCCTTTCGCGTTAAAGGGTAACTTGGCAAGTCTATCAATTTCATCGCCGATTTTCATTTTTGTTGTCGCATATTTTCTCATCTAGCGCCCCCTACAGCTGTGGGACGTGTATTTCATAACACTGTCGTAAAAAAAAAACAACTCACTTGCGGCACATTCCTCCCCCTTTCTACCGCTGCTTGTGCGTTTGTTATTATCGGAGCCGGCCAACTTTATCAGTATCATAGAATTATGTTGAATTGTCATAAAGCAGTTTGTGTTTCTCGCTCGTTCTCGCTTCTCACATGACTTCCTATTTCCAACTTACTGGGACATTTAGTCCTCATGTTGCAAGGGTGGTTTTCTGCCTGGTAACGCTGGGGGGAGCAGGGAAAGTCACCTTTTTCACCAGAACAGGTTATTTAACCAACGTTTTATTAAGTTGAAATCGTTTCCAAGTTCCCCTTGAATTGAAAAACCACTAATTTAATAAATTATTAGATGAGAAATTAAACCTAAAAAAATGTAAATTAGAAATGCTGCTTAATAAAATAAGTTCAAGTGTAAGTAATCAATTGAATGGATATAAATTAAAGCTAAATGGAAATAAAAATAATAAAATGACAAAAGCACAAGAGAAAGATAAATAAGACAAAAGAAGAGTGTGATGAAAAGGGAAGGTCTCAATAAAAAAAATCCAAAAGCAAGTGTTCAAACGAGACGCATTTGAAACGCATGATAATACCAAGTGAAAACAGCATTCTCTCTCGCTCACTTGATTTCCTGGATATTGTGTTAAATTTGCGGGCGTCACTATCAATACATGGAGACTCAGAGGTGGAATGTCTGCTATAATAGTAAATAAATAATACTAAAACAACGCTGATGTACACTGCAAGACCTAATTCACTGATCCATGAGTAATGTCTTACGGTCACCATTATTCTCCAAGGGACTAGAGGGCAGTAGTGGGTTGTTGTGGACTAGAGGCTGGGCATACAGCATGTGCAGTCGTGGTACAAGGGATGCTGGCGGGCTGTGAACTCTTTGCTCCTCCACAGTCTCCATTCCATCCGTGGGGTCAAGCAGTGAAGACACCTCTCTGAAAACATGAAACAAACAATGTATTACAGTTTAATCAGAGAACCTTCTATTACAACCATCCCAAAATCATTAGATTACCTTTCTTCTGCAATCACACTCAAGGCAGGGTCTACTGAAAGGATGCCAAATACTTCCAGCATGTCATTCAGTTTGAAACTATCCCAGTTCTCATATACCTGCCAATTACAGAGGATGGCCAAGTTAAATGGCTGTCTGTGTAGGTGGGGAACAATTCAACGGAGCAAACCATCATATTATAGCAAGCAAATTACAATGTTAACATGTGCCTGCTCAAGACAACTTGATTATAGTGTTAGTTTTAAAGTATGCATTAAAAATGACAACCTACCAAAAAAAATAAATAAATAATAATAATTGAGTGTCTGTCAAGAGGATGGCTTAAGAGTTTAAAATGAAGGAAAAGTTAAACCTTAACAAGGCAGGCTGGGCCTTTTTCTCCAGGCAAAGGGAAGTTAAGGTCCAGACTGGATGTGCAGTGTGACTGGGACGAGTCCTGACTGGGGGCTTTTGTCTCCTGACGCTTCGGCTCCATGTTGCCATGAGACTCAGCAGAGCTGTGAGCTCCTGTTTGAAAAGAGGAAAAAAAAAAAAATAATAATAATAATAATAAAAAAAAAAAAAATCGCATTTTAAATCTTGAACATGAACCCATTTGCTTGATAGATTAAAAAATTCCACATACTCACTGGAAATTGATTTTTTCAGTTAAGTTAATTTGCCCTTCTTACCTTGACTGACATCTTTCATCTGTTGGGGCTGTGTGTCCATCTCATCATCATCCTCATAGCTGCGCTTATGCCTGTTCGGGACATAGGATGTGGAGGGCACCACTCGCGCTTGACTGGTGCCTGCGTAGCTGTTCTGAGTCGTTAAGGATAGATGAATTCGCATATTGGTCAATAAGGACAAGGGAAACCACCAAAAATATGCAGTGAAAACGCTGGTAGAATCTGAAGTATAAGCAAGATAATTATTTGGTCCATGTAAAGGATATTTCCTTGACCCACTGAGATTCTCCAGGGATGGGGACACAATAAAATGTCTGTCTCTCTGACATCACTGTGTTTCTTGAGTTAAAGTCCACCTGCTGACATAAAGTCCATTTGATTATGTCTATTTAAAGGCAGCTGTGCAGACCAAAATAGCTTTTTTTATGTAGCTACTTTGTCACATCAGTTTCTCAAGTACTCTCTGAGGTCATTTATGCTGTTAGGAGACACTTTAATCATTTAAAGCATAAATTTGTATCATTTAATGCATGTTCAGTTCGTAGGGATTCGAACCCATGATATAAGTGTTGCTTTGCTCTACTTTTAGAGCTTCAGGAAAGCACACTGAAGTGCTTTTCCACACTTCTGTTTAAAATGTTAAAAAATATGAATTGTGTGTGATAATATTCAAGTTTATGGAAAAATAAACATTTATTAATGGTAATTGTTTTGAATCAAATTAGGGTCAATTTGACCCCAACCAACAATAAAATCGTACCCAGATTTTATAAGGCTTAGTATATAAATGCATTATCTATCTATCCAATATGTTAGTTAACAATGGAAACATTTACTGACCCCACACTCTGTGACATCTTTGTATTTTCCACATTTCACCTGCTGAGAGTAATGTTTAAAGTTAAGAAATTATTCAAATTATTGTGTTTGAAAAAAAAAAAGTGCTAATGGATTTTTAATCAGGCAGGGTTAGTAGTACCTACTTTAGAGTTTGATGTGGGATCATTGATCTCATAAACACCCATGAAAAATTCTGGGTCAAACATATCTTGGACCATGCAACGGAATTTCACAAGACTATTAGGCTTCATGTAGTGCAGGGGGACATCATTCAGAGATGGAACCTAGAGAAATGCAGATAAATGATAGCAAAGTCAAACGGATGAACTTGAGGACTGATTCCTCATTAAAATATTAATTTTCTAACTAATAATTATGACTGTCATCAGAAACAAGTGAATAAAGTGAATCAAATGGATCGGTTCTTAGCATAATGTTGATGTCATCTGTCAAAACAAACCGCTCCTCATGTCAGTATCATAACACAGTTGACTGGCCCCTATCCTAAAGAAAGCACGTAACGCTAAGAATTTACTTTGCAAGAACATTACTGCACTAAGCTATTATTGTGTCAAAATACTAAAAATACCAAAACAGATACGATTTTAACAGTAAGTTACCCATGCTTGAGCATCGTTTAGTTTCAATTTCTCTTTGAAATACTCCACAACTTTCTTCTCCCAGTCTGGACTGGAGTGACTCTGGGCTGTGGAAAAAACAACAATAAAAAAGTATAATAACACAAAAGCAGCGAAATTCAGGTATAACGTTACATGTAAACTTTAAAAATCATAGCAAATAATGACGATCACATGCTTCTCTTCAAAAGTATTAGTAGGAACATTTTGACTGTTGCTTCTTACCGAACATCCCATCAACAACACCCAGTGGATTGTTGATCCAGTCGTGAACCGTAGGCATTGCTGTAGGATTAAGAAACTCACAAAAGTTAAAACTTAATATTCCTTTAACAAGAACTACAACATGCACGTTCCAGAGTTCGGCACCGCACAATACACCGTGGCGGGAAAATTGCGTCATAAAAATTACCATGTGACCAGGGCGCAAGTTCGCTTCCCTTCTCTGTCAAGAAGACTAGACAGTAGTTCACCGATATGTACAGTGGCTTTAGTAAACAAACAACTAAGTTGTAATGGGTCAAACCCTTCCTACACACATTGTGCAATATTCATTGTTATATTAAAGTAAATATTTGAATAATTACATATTGTATTAAAATACGTAAAATTATTAATACAATTTATAATATATTAATAATAAATAAATTGTTTTGTTTAAGTACCAAGATTAATTGAGTGTTCTGCTTGAAATTTAGCATTTATTCAACCATTTAAGTGAGACGTTCTTGTACATGTTTGTACATATTTTAATTTAAAATGTATTAAATTTTTAAAGGTGCTTTTGCTTTCTAGTATGACAACTGGTTTTGAAAGAAAAACGAAAGAAGTTAAAAAAAAATATCGACGTTGTTGTTGTTGATTACTTTGGTCTTTAACGTCACGCTGGGACGTCAACTCGACGCTAATCTGTATATCATGCACTAGGCATCATCGTTAGATTATCGTATGAACCTTTCGGACTGTGAATGATGCATAGATCTGTGAAATTCCAGAGAACCCCTTCAGCTCTACAGTGACGTACCAGGAAGTGTTGAAAAAAAGAAAAAAAAAGAAGAAGCTCTGCCTGTTCGAAGGGAGGACAAGCTACGTGTAATTTGTGATTGAAAATGGCTGATAGGAAAGCCAACATCCCTAGCAGCAGCGCAAATCTTCTGTTTTCAGGAGCCCCGGAGTTCAACTTTAGCCTGCCGTTCCTCCCTGTCAGTCAGGCCACCGGCCCGGCGGTTTTATCAGGAGGTGAGCTTATAAAGTCTTCAAATGAGCTGCTTTAGTGGCTAGCTAGTGATGTTAGCTTTCTTCTGTTTTTCAGCTCAAAGGTCTCTTCTCTTTATGATAAATAGATGACATGACATACTTTCTGTAATATTATTTCACTCTTAAATCCAGTAAACAGAGTTTCCCGTTTTTACTGATGCCAAATATTTTATGATTTTTTTTATTGATTTTTTCTATGCTTGATTAGTAACATTTTCAGTGTGAAATGAATCAGATTTCTTTGCTATGGTCTTAACTCAAAACTGCAATTAGTCTTCATCAAAATTATGAGATTCCATTGCATTGTCACTCAATGTCCCTAACGTCATCACACAATTTAAATGACATCATGTAGTATAGGAACACAATATACATTTTACTGCTATCTATTACTCCTATATCCAGAAATAAGGACAAGGTTCATAAAAAAATGCCATATGCATTTCCCCCATTTTCTCCAACTTTTATAAACACTGTCAGATATGTATGAAAACATCAGCAGACAATCAAACAAAGATCAAAGTCCGTCTTCATCCTAAAGCTCTACCTTTCATATTCATATTTCATCAGTGAATAGTTTAATGAATTGTAATTTTAATAATAATTTGTATTATTTGTTCATTGTAATTTAAAAAAGTATTTATAGAGGGTTTTGATGCTTTCTGTTAATGCAGAATTGTTAAACCAATTAAATCCAGAGAAGTATTTATTATAACCTGAGTGCACTCGGATTATTCTTTTTTTTCTTTCTTTTTTTTTTTATAGAATTCTTACAATTGATGATATGTTTATTTTTTTTAGGGCTGTCAAACGATTAATTGCGATTAATCGCATCCAAAATAAAAGTCTGTGTTTACATAATATATGTGGGTGGACTGTGTATAATTATTTTGTGTATATATATATATATATATATGTATATTTAAGAAAAAAATATATAAAATATTTAAAAAATAAAATGTATGAAATTCTTATGTACACATTCCACCCACATATATTATGTAAACACAAACTATTTTGGATGCGATTAATCGTTTGACAGCCCTAGTTTTTTTATATTATTATATTCTAAATAACTGATTATGTTTCTCTATGTTATAAATACTAATATATTAATATTTTATAATAAACTATACATTTCCTTTGCATTTCTTTATATCATCCTCTGTAAAGATGATGCCAGTGAAGTTGGAGAAGAAGACAGTTTTCTTGGCCAGACGTCATCAGCAGCTCCTCAGGCCTCCACGTTCAATTATTTCTCAAGCGTCACCAACAGCAGCGACCCATTTGCTTCTATTGGGCAACAGCCGTGCCCGCCTCCAGCCGCCACGGTCGTTCCATCAACAACTGGCCCGTCGCCTGTATCCATTGCTGCTAGTCTGCCTCTGAACCCGCCAGTATCTCACATGAACCCCAGTCAGCAGTATGGCAGTGTTGCTAATCAGACCCCTGTGGGTACATACACTCCTCCGCCTAATGTACCGACTCCTCCTCCTCCGCAGAGCTCCCAGCAGTCCTATAATCCATACCGGCACACGGCTGCCAGTAGCAAAGCTAATCCCTATCTCATGGCTCCTGAATTACAGCAGCAGACCCCCAGCCAAACACCCCAGCATCTAAACCCCTATTCTCAGGCGATACCTGCTCCCTCGTTCCAGACTCCACCCACAGTGTTTAACAAGGTTGCTCATGTAATGCCATTTTTGTCTTTAAATCACTATGATCTTAAATTTATAGTTATGAAGGATTTTACTCAAAATAGCATCTGCTGCCATTATCAGAGCTGTTAATTGTTTACTGAGTCTGACTGCTGTTAATGTTAGAAATGCATGATATATCGTACCATATTGGTTGTCGGCCCTTATTAGAGATATAATTTTTAGTTTTTATTGGGATCAATTGATATTTGATTTATATCAGCCGATATTTATATTTAATTGTCGATGTTAAATTCCTATATTTTACATTTAGATCACCTTTGCCATCATCTAAAATCATCTAATTTAAAGTTAATCTTTAAAACGCTAATAATATGATAGCATCAAATAAAATCATAATTTTACATACTGTAGAACACAGTGTTATTTTACGTAATATTTTGAATTACATTTTCCGTTTTAATTTAGTTTGTCATTTTAGTGCTTATTTCATTGTTATTTCATCTTGTTTATATTTTATTTTAGCTTTCAGTTATCAATTTTTAATATTTTTTGTTATAAATACTGATGCAGCATAATGTTGTAATAACAAAATTCACTTTATTAAAAAAAGTTTTTCATAAAAATAATTAGCAGATTTGTATCGATCAGAATATTGATATTGGTGAATCCTTATAAAATGTTAAAACCGAGAAAGAAAAGGTTTATTCATATTTTGTGTATATATATGACTGTTTTAAAAAGGGATTGCACTTGTTCTAATACTGTATTGCTCTGCCCCAGCCTCCCCCAACACAGATTCCACCGCCCCCTGCAGCGACTAGCATGGCTGGACCGTTAGTCCCTGCCAACTCAATGATGCCATACACATATAATGTTTATGAACCTGTACAACATCACTGGTTCTACTGTAAACAAGTGGAGTCAAAGATGGTCTGGCTTCCCTTTAGTATTCTGGATTCCATTCGCTTGGAAGAGACATTCAACTCTGGTAAGACAGGGAGTGTTTTCATGGCAGAAAAATTGCACAAGGTGCTGCCAAAAGTTTGGCATTAGTTCTCTAGCTCAGTGTTTCCCAACCCTGTTCCTGGCGGCACACCAACACTGCGTGTTTTCTTTGTCTCCCTAATCAAACACACCCGATTCAACCCATCAGCTCATTAACCCACCTGATTATGAACTGATGGGTTGAATCAGGTGTGTTTGATAAGGGAGACAAAGAATACACGCAGTGTTGGTGTGCCGCCAGGAACAGGGTTGGGAAACACTGCTCTAGCTTATGATGTATAGCCGTGCGTTTACTTTTAACAGAACTAAATTGAGTAAATGTTAAGCTAAATGCATCTGTCACTACAACTTAATTTGTTTGAGATGAACAGATTTTAAGGTTTTTTCTATGTATGCTAAGAGCATGTGGCCACCCTTAGTCTATTTCACAACATACAGTAGTCACTTCACAATCTGTTGCTTCAGTTCAGCCAGATCCAGAGAATGTGATTGTGTGTACGGATGGAGGGCGCTATGACGTGCAGCTGTACGACCGCACACGGACCTCTGTGTACTGGGAGGAAGAGCCCACCGAGGTCCGCCGCTGCTCCTGGTTCTACAAAGGAGATGCAGACAGTCGCTTCATCCCATATTCAGAAGAATTCAGTGAGAAGCTGGAGGTTTGTGCTTCCCTATGCTTTTTCTCATCAGTTTTCAGAAAAGGCTATTAGGATGACATTTTAACTGCTCATTGTTGTCTGCTGTAAACAGGTCGAATATAAGAAAGCTGTTACCACTAATCAGTGGCATCGGCGACTGGAATTCCCATCTGGTGAGACCATCGTAATGCACAATCCAAAGGTACAACTTTTTTAAATGCTCTAAAGGCAGTTTACATGACACTGTTTTCAACTAAAAATGGAAAACTTTTTATGCATTTTTTTCAAAAAGATACAGTTTTGGTCTTTGTGTAAATTACAAAAACGTGAATTTGTGAAAACGGTGAGGTCATGCACATGCGCAGTACATGTTCAGTCTATTGACCTTATTCACATCAGCGCCATCTTTGTTTTTTAATGGAATGAAAGCGAGGCTGTGAGGCGGGTAGTACTGTTATTTAATATGTTTTTAATATGCTGCAAAAAATATCTTTCCGAGACAAAATTCCGGTAGACAAAAAAACTCCACAACATGTGGAAGTGTGGAAATTTCGAAGTGATCTAGGAGCTTTATACAACTTTTTACAGCGGATTCTATTGAAAGCATGGTAAAGCTATCCCTCACAGCCTCCCTTCCATACCTGGTCTATGTCTATAGATGGGTAGTCTTTCTTTACAAAATGACATAGAAAAAAAAAATTCTGGTTTAATACATCGTTGTCATGCAAGCTTATTATCATTATAATAGACACTAGATATAGTAAAATGATTGTTTTGTTCCTCAGGTGATTGTGCAGTTTCAGCCATCTGCCATGCCTGATGAGTGGGGCACGACGCAGGACGGTCAGACCCGACCTCGTGTTGTCAAGAGGGGTGTGGATGATGATCAAGATGAAGTTCCTGATGGTATATCGGTCTTTTGTTCTCAGTTTCTCACTAAAGCCAAACAAAAAATGTGTGATTTTGTTTTGCTTTCTCATTTTAAAATCCCCCGAGTTTCAAAATACAACTTGTCAAATAGCCTTCAAACTCATATTATTTGATGGTGAATGCATGTCTTTTCCTGTCTAGGCGAGATGGCTCAGGTGGATCATCTGGTGTTTATGGTGCATGGCATCGGCCCCGTCTGTGACCTGAGGTTTAGAAGCATGGTGGAGTGTGGTATGTGTTACGCAAGTTGTGAATAGAGTTTTCTAAGGCTTTTATTCAAACACTTTCAGTAAAAACAAATCCTGCTGTTTTGATGTGAATTCTTGAACACAATATATTGCGCTTCAGTCAAATTGTGTTTGTGTGTTTGCAGTGGATGACTTCCGCAGTGTGTCCTTGAAGTTGTTGCAGAGTCATTTTAAGAAGGCTCGTGATGATCATGTCATTAGTCGTGTGGAGTTTCTGCCTGTGCATTGGCACACGGCTCTACACGGTGACGCTACAGGGGTTGACAGGTAGAGTCACAAGAAATGAATACTTTTCAGCAAGGATGCCTTAAAGGGATAGTTCAGTTTGAAATTAATTTTTGATATGTTTTAGCTTACCTCAAGGACATCCAAGATGTAGGTATCTTTGTTTCCACAGTATTTTCAATTTTGATATTTTTAGGTCAAACCGTTCTTGTCTGTCAGTCATTTAATGGAGGTATATGGGGTCCACCTCAAAGAGCATGCACAGAGAAGTCCATATTAAATCATGATTCAATGACTCGTAAATGTAATTACACATTGATGGCCTAAGACACGAAACGAGCAGTTTGTGTGAGAAAACGAACAGTATTTATATAGTATTTACCTCTTGTAACCACAGCTAAGTGATCTAAGGGCGCAGGTGCTTTGTGGCTACAAGAGGTAAAACCATATAAATACTGTTCGTTTTCTCACACAAACCGCTCGTTTCGTGTCTTAGGCCATCAATGTGTACTTACTCTGTGCATGCTCTTTGAGGTGGACCCCATATACCTGCATTATATGACTGACAGACAAACAAAGTCACCTAGTCACATCTTGGATGTCCTTGAGGTGAGCTAAAACATACCAAAAATTAATTTCAAAGTGAACTATCCCTTTAAGACCAACTCACACCGCACTGACACTTCGTCTGTTTTTATTTATTTATATATATATATATAGACCATTTCACAAGATGTAAACAACACTGGTCCAGAAGCACTTCCTGTTTCAGTTTTTTAACTCTACATAAAAGCTGGGATAAAATACAACAACAGAACATTTAAAACTGAATCAAAAAGTTAAACAAACATCTTTAAGATGTTTTCTTTACATGTGAAATAAAGAAAACAGTTACAAACTGAAACAGGAAGTGCTTCTGGACCAGTGTTGTTTACATCTTGTGAAATGGTATATATATATATATATATATATATATATATATATATATATCAGTGTGTTCATATCGTGTCTGTTGGCATCTGTCTGAGCTTGATTTGATCAAATTGTGATCAAGAATTAAATTCCATTTTAACATATATAAAAATAAATAGAAAAGTAATTTTAAATTGTTATATTATTTCACAATATTCCTGTTTTTACTGTATGTTTGATCATATCTTATCCTTCTCTGAAAAAAAAAAAGGAAACTGGTTGGTCAGAAAGTTTAGGGAACTTTAAAAAAAATTGAAGACTATTGAAAAATAATTCTTATTCCCCTTACAATCTGTGCTCCAATGAACTTGAAATCTATACATTTTTGCCCAAATTATGTTGTCTGTTATATCATAAACGGTTGTAATTTAGTTTTCTAATTTAGTTCTTTCTGTCTTTTACATTTTGAATCATGCAGGAGGATAAAGAAGATTACTCTGCCCAGCACAGGTCGTTTGCGGCACTTCACTAATGAAACCCTTTTAGACGTGCTTTTCTACAACAGCCCAACCTACTGTCAGACCATTATGGACACCGTGGCTTTTGAGATCAACCGCTTACACGCATTATTCATGGCAAGAAACCCAGACTTCAAAGGCAGAGTGTCTGTGTCTGGACACAGCTTGGGTGAGAATCCTTTTCTTTGGCATAATTTAGCTCTGAATCACTGGCCTTAAATGATTAAGAAAAAGCTTGAACTAAAGTGATGCACTATTTGTGTACATTTAGTGTTTAACAACACCATATATTGAACTAAACTAGTATTCATATTTGTATTACAATTTTTTGTTTCAATTTATTATAGGCTCTTTGATACTTTTTGACCTGCTGTCCAATCAGAAGGTCTGCTCACCTTTATCAGGTCCAGTAACCAATGGAAATGCTCCGCCTAATGTGAAACAGGTATCGGTACATTTTGAATGAAGATGATCTTAAAATGCTGCACATTAATTGAAGTAGTACTTAGTCATGTTCTGTTCATGGCATCCCTGGAACACACAACCTTTTATGGGTTTTTAAGATGACCTTATTTTAATTATTGTAGGGAAGTCCCGTCATCCAGGCCAATGAAGTGGCTACTGTAGCAGCTGCTGAGGAAGAGGCCAAAGAGGAGGAAGAAGAAGAAGAGATTGGCGACCTGTCCTCTGTTCTGGAGATGCTGTGTTTGTCTGAGTATCTGAGTGTTTTTGAAACTGAGAGGATTGATATTGAGTCTCTGGTAAGAGCATTTTAAATTTGGTTTTACACCTTTTATATTAAAACAATAAGCAACTCATCACTGCTATTATTACAGCTGTTATGCACAATAGATGACCTAAAGGAAATGGGTATTCCTTTGGGGCCACGGAAAAAACTCGCCAACTTTGTCAAAGAGAAGTCTGCAAAACAGGTAAATTTTCATTTTTTTGCATCAGGTGTTTATTTGTCCATTCTGATGTGATGCTTTTAAACATGTTCTTCTCGACAGGCTGCACGAAAAGCTGTGAAAGAGAAAACTGTAGAAAAAGAGGAACCAAAAGAAACTAAACCTCCCGTCCAGACAGAGCCCACACCAGATCCTTCCATCAGCAAACTGCCAGTCGGAAGGAACATGTCCTCAATCCATGTGGATTACAACTATTTCGAAATAGGCACAGGACAGGTAAAGCTTGAATTTACACCTTCCCAAATTATCTATGGTTGAATGGTCATTTTATCAGAAGCTGGTTGTGGGTCTGAAATGTGAATATGCTTTGCAATCCTGGATGTTCTCCTCCAGGTGTCGGTGGTATATCATGCTCTAGACTTTGAACCAGTGAATTTCTTTGCTCTCGGCTCTCCCATCGGGATGTTTCTGACAGTACGTGGGGTGGAGAAAATTGAAGAGTCTTACCAGCTTCCCACCTGCAAAGGCTTCTTCAATATCTACCATCCAGTGAGTTGTGTCTTAGACCGTCTATTGCTTCTCTACAGCTGCATCTGATCTTTTGGGAATCATATGGTTCACGAGTATCAGTGTAAATGAAGAATAATGAACAACACGATTTGGAAATGTAACATTCTCAGTGTTAGCCTGTGTCGCTAATACATCAATATAATATTGTGTTCTCAGCTGGATCCAGTTGCATACAGGATTGAACCATTGATCTTACCAGACATTGAAATGGAACCGGTTTTGATCCCTCATCATAAAGGGAGGAAGAGACTTCATCTCGGTATGTATTCAACACAAGGTTTGTACGGCCTTTAACAACCTGGAAAAGTCCGTTTTAAGGCCTGGCAAGGTTTCGGAAAAATAAAGTTTTGGGAAAGGTAATTTTTCAAAATATTTATATAATATAATATGCACTTAACTGATCATATTGGTCAAACAAACTACAGTACATAACATTATTCAATCCCTCTGACTGCGGCATTCCATCAGATTTTGTTTTGCAGCAATGAGCATTATAACCAATCTCACAATATGGATATGAATATGGATTATTCTTGAATTCTTATTCTTGAATATGGATTTTTATTCTTATTTTACGTGTATACACAGACATTTCATGGAACGTTTGGTCATGAATATTTGCCTCAAACGTCATGGAGTTTTATATGGTTAGGGTTAGAAAATTATTAATAAACAAAAATATTTAAAATATATTAAAAAAGTTAGGTTATTTAAATCATTTATTATTACTATTTTTTTTTAAAAAGTGTAAATTTTACCAGGCAAAAGTTTCTGGTAAAGAAAAAAGTTAACAAAATAATGAACGATTATTGTAATTTAAATGTAAATGTAACTTATAATAGAATGCATTAAGGTTACAAAATAATTTTTTGTGTCTTGTATTCAGAATTAAAAGAGAGTTTATCCAGGATGGGCTCTGACTTGAAGCACGGCTTCATCAGCTCTCTGAAGACTGCTTGGCAGACTCTGAACGAGTTTGCGCGTGCTCACACCTCTTCCACTCAACTGCACGAACAGCTCGCCATGGTCGCAAGTCAGATCAAAGCACAAGAGGAAATGCAGGAAGGTGAGTCACCCACAATGCATATCCTCTTATAGTGTCATTAGTTCACTGTGCACTCTTCAACGCAAACTGAATCTGAATCTAACGCTTTGTTTGCAGAGGAGAGTAAGATGGTTGAGAGTCCAGAGCCTCAGAAGGAAGAGGAGACGCATGTACAAGTGGGTCTGCTGAATGGAGGGAATCGCATTGACTACGTCCTGCAAGAGAAACCCATCGAGAGCTTTAACGAATATCTGTTTGCACTCCAGAGTCATCTGTGTTACTGGTATGTGATCTTCCATAACAATGTCATTATGTAATTGTATTATTGTCATTTTGTGAAATACAATAAAGACTATTTTATCTCTTTCCTCAGGGAATCTGAAGATACAGCTCTGCTTCTTCTCAAGGAAATTTATAAGTCCATGGATGTACGGCCAGATCATCCAGTGCATTAATGTAATGGGTCACTAAAATTCCTTATCCATCAGAAATCATATTGCTTTGAAGATAAATAAATATTTTAAACAGTTTTCAACTCTTTAACTGGACTATCCCAGCAGTTTTTGTTATTTTATTCTCTTGTAGTCTGTTGTATAAAAATGAATACACTTGTATTATTCCATGTGTCTTAAATTAAGAAATGAATAGTGGATTTCAATACCACTGCAACAGTTTCAAATATTATTTTTCTAGCTTATAGAGCTACAAATGTTTGTGTGCAATTGCAAATGAAATTAAATGGTATTAACAAACTTTATCTAGAGTTAGAATATAAATATTGATTATGCTGTGTAAAAACTACAACCAAGAATCATAATAAACTGAACTATTAGTAGCGGTTGTGTTGCTCTTGCTTGCTATAATTATGCTAAATTTATCTTCTGTTAATTGGTATATTTCAGTAAACTGATATTTACTGGCACATAAGCTTATGTTTTGGAAGCAAAATGTATGACAGAACTGGTGACAGTCAAATAACAGGTCTGTTTTATGCAGGGTGGCCGTGGGTCATTAAAAAGTATTAAAAAGTCTTAAATCAATTTTCCTAAAAATAAGGCCTTAAAAAGTATTAAATTGTCTTAAATTTAGAGTGGATAGGTCTTAAATATGTTGGTCATGTCACCGCAAAGATGCAGGCAATCCTTCTGCCAGCCAGGTCAAATATTTTCTACAAGGTAACGTACCCTGTGTGTGCGAACAGTGCAACCTATAAACATCAGGTCTAAGTGCATGAAAAACATCCGTCATTTTGTTCATACAGGACAGCATTCAGTCAGCAAAGTGTTTACTTATATTTGTGTAGCAAAACATATGTATCCAACCCTTGTTTGAAACAGTCCGTGTGTTCTAACGTCTGTCAGAGTTTGAGGTCCCAGAAGAAGACTAGGAAAGACAGTGCAAACGAACTGGTTGTTCCACGAGTCCTTTTATAGTTGCTTTCTTTCAGTTAAGCACACTCTTCACATATGTCGAAAGTGCGGATGTTAACAGGTTAAAGAAAACACTCTGTAAAACGCTACAAATCAAAGTGGAAGTAGCACTAAACGCATTAAACGAAACAACAGCCCGCGATAGATCGGTCATCTTCTTCCTCTTTGCGCGAGCATTCTCACTTTTCCAGGGGTTTCAGTAAAGCGTAAAAAGTGTGACGTTGTAGAGTAGGCGTTCTCCTAAATCCAAATTGTGTGTGTGTGTTTACAGGGGTTTCACATCAGATACAGTACCTGTACATGTGCATCAGATACCTGTGTGTGTGTTTACAGGGGTTTCACGTCAGATACCTGTCCTAACTGTACATGTGCATCAGATACCTGTGTGTGTGTTTACAGGGGTTTCACGCAGATACCTGTCCTAACTGTACATGTGCATCAGATGCCTGTGTGTGTGTTTACAGGGGTTTCACGTCAGATACCTGTCCTAACTGTACATGTGCATCAGATACCTGTGTGTGTGTTTACAGGGGTTTCACATCAGATACCTGTCCTAACTGTGCATCAGATACCTGTGTGTGTGTTTACAGGGGTTTCACGTGACACGTCAGATACCTGTCCTAAATGTACATGTGCATCAGATGCCTGTGTGTGTGTTTACAGGAGTTTCACGTCAGATACCTGTCCTAACTGTACATGTGCATCAGATACCTGTGTGTGTGTTTACAGGGGTTTCACGTGACACGTCAGATACCTGTCCTAAATGTACATGTGCATCAGATGCCTGTGTGTGTGTTTACAGGAGTTTCACGTCAGATACCTGTCCTAACTGTACATATCCATCAGATACCTGTGTGTGTGTTTACAGGGGTTTCATGAGATACTTGTCCTAACTGTACATGTGCATCAGATGCCTGTGTGTGTGTTTACAGGGGTTTCACGTCAGATACCTGTCCTAACTGTACATGTGCATCAGATGCCTGTGTGTGTGTTTACAGGGGTTTCACGTCAGATACCTGTCCTAACTGTACATGTCCATCAGATACCTGTCTGTGTGTTTACAGGGGTTTCACGTCAGATACCTGTCCTAACTGTACATGTGCATCAGATGCCTGTGTGTGTGTTTACAGGGGTTTCATGAGATACCTGTCCTAACTGTACATGTGCATCAGATACCTGTGTATGTGTTTACAGGGGTTTCACGTCAGACACCTGTCCTAACTGTACATGTGCATCAGATACCTGTGTGTGTGTTTACAGGGGTTTCACGTCAGACACCTGTCCTAACTGTACATGTGCATCAGATACCTGTGTGTGTGTTTACAGGGGTTTCATGAGATACCTGTCCTAACTGTACATGTGCATCAGATACCTGTGTATGTGTTTACAGGGGTTTCACGTCAGACCTGTCCTACTGTACATGTGCATCAGATACCTGTGTGTGTGTTTACAGGGGTTTCATGAGATACCTGTCCTAACTGTACATGTGCATCAGATACCTGTGTGTGTGTTTACAGGGGTTTCATGAGATACCTGTCCTAACTGTACATATCCATCAGATACCTGTGTGTGTGTTTACAGGGGTTTCATGAGATACCTGTCCTAACTGTACATGTGCATCAGATACCTGTGTGTGTGTTTACAGGGGTTTCACGTCAGATACCTGTCCTAACTGTACATGTGCATCAGATGCATGTGTGTGTGTTTACAGGGGTTTCACGCCAGATACCTGTCCTAACTGTACATGTGCATCAGATACCTGTGTGTGTGTTTACAGGGGTTTCACGCCAGATACCTGTCCTAACTGTACATGTGCATCAGATACCTGTGTGTGTGTTTACAGGGGTTTCACGTCAGATACCTGTCCTAACTGTACATGTGCATCAGATGCATGTGTGTGTGTTTACAGGGGTTTCACGCCAGATACCTGTCCTAACTGTACATGTGCATCAGATACCTGTGTGTGTGTTTACAGGGGTTTCACGTCAGACACCTGTCCTAACTGTACATGTGCATCAGATACCTGTGTGTGTGTTTACAGGGGCTTCATGTCAGATACCTCTCCTAGTACCTATGCATCAGATACCTGTGTGTGTGTGTTTACAGGGGTTTCACATCAGATACCTGTCCTAACTGTACATGTGCGGTAATTAAGTCTTCCTGGCAGAACTTATGCGAAAGATTTCATTGGCATAAATGCTACGTGGGATCTCAATATCTAGGCTCTGGAAGGGTCTAGATCCTCCATTTTTGCACTGAACTCTAAGACTCATGGCCCTTTATCAGAATCCAGAATTTTGAGAACATTGGAGAAACTTAATATCTCACCCCGAAAAAAAAAAACGAAAGGGGTACCACTGTCGTTGTTTTTTTTTTTTTTTTTGGTCGAAATTTTGAGTTTCTCTTATCTTCTTGAAACTCTGGATTCTGATAGAGGGCCATGAGACTTAGACCTGAGTGCAAAAATGGAGGCTCTAGACCCTTCCAGAGCTGAGATATTGAGATATGTATAATGGCATAAATGTTATGCGGGATCTCAATATCTCACCTCTGTAAAGGTCTAGAGCCTCCATTTTTGCACTCAAGTCTAAGTCTCATGGCCCTTTATCAGAATCCAGAATTTTGAGAAGATTGGAGAAACTTAATTTCTTGCCCCGAAAAAAAAAAAAACGAAAGGGGTACCACTGTCGTTTTTTTTTTTTTTTGGTCGAAATTTTGAGTTTCTCTGATCTTCTTGAAACTCTGGATTCTATGAGAGGGCCATGGTACTTAGACCTGAGTGCAAAAATGGAGACTCTAGACCCTTCCAGAGCTGAGACATTGAGATATTAATAATGGCAAAAATGCTACGTGGGATCTCAGTATCTCGGCTCTGAAAGGGTCTAGAGCCTCTATTTTTGCAATCAAGTCTAAGTCTCATGGACCTCTATCAGAATCCAGAGTTTTGAGAAGATTGGAGAAACTTAATTTCTCGCCGCAAAAAAAAAACGAAAGGGGTACCACTGTCGTTTTTTTTTTTTTTTTGGTCGAAATTTTGAGTTTCTCTGATCTTCTTGAAACTCTGGATTCTGATAGAGGGCCATGAGACTTAGACCTGAGTGCAAAAATGGAGGCTCTAGACCCTTCCAGAGCTGAGATATTGAGATATGTATAATGGCATAAATGTTATGCGGGATCTCAATATCTCACCTCTGTAAAGGTCTAGAGCCTCCATTTTTGCACTCAAGTCTAAGTCTCATGGCCCTTTATCAGAATCCAGAATTTTGAGAAGATTGGAGAAACTTAATTTCTTGCCCCGAAAAAAAAAAAACGAAAGGGGTACCACTGTCGTTTTTTTTTTTTTTTTGGTCGAAATTTTGAGTTTCTCTGATCTTCTTGAAACTCTGGATTCTATGAGAGGGCCATGGTACTTAGACCTGAGTGCAAAAATGGAGACTCTAGACCCTTCCAGAGCTGAGACATTGAGATATTAATAATGGCAAAAATGCTACGTGGGATCTCAGTATCTCGGCTCTGAAAGGGTCTAGAGCCTCTATTTTTGCAATCAAGTCTAAGTCTCATGGACCTCTATCAGAATCCAGAGTTTTGAGAAGATTGGAGAAACTTAATTTCTCGCCGCAAAAAAAAAACGAAAGGGGTACCACTGTCGTTTTTTTTTTTTTTTGGTCGAAATTTTGAGTTTCTCTGATCTTCTTGAAACTCTGGATTCTGATAGAGGGCCATGAGACTTAGACCTGAGTGCAAAAATGGAGGCTCTAGACCCTTCCAGAGCTGAGATATGTTAAAGGATGTATAGGCCAAACCAGGTGTTATCAGAATCCCGATATTGACATGGATCCATCACAACATGTCTTCATATTAGGGACTGAAGTGAGTGTTGGCAGTCAGGTGCTGGAGTAGTGGAGGAACGGATGAGAAGAGGACACAATCAGCGCCAACACGCACTCATCCACATAAACACTAATGGGCTTATTACACACAGCACTGATCTGGCACTGCACTACTGTGTACTAGACCAGACAGCAGGTGCACACACACAAACACACACACACACACACACACACCACAGTCAGTGTGTGAATCTCAACAAAACCAGATCCTGGTCACACTTCACCCCAAAATATAAAGCAGGAAATATAAAGACTTAGACCTGAGTGCAAAAATGGAGGCTCTAGATCCTTCCAGAGCTGAGATATTGAGATATTTATAATGGCATAAATGCTACATGGGATTTCAATATCTCTGCTCTGGAAGGGTCTAGAGCCTCCATTTTTGCACTCAAGTCTAAGTCTCATGGCCCTCTATCAGAATCCATCGTTTTGAGAAGATTGGAGAAACATAATTTCTTGCCCAGAAAAAAAACGAAAGGGGTACCACTGTCGTTTTTTTTTTTGGTCGAAATTTT